GGAGGAAACCTGTGCAAAGAAAGACTGACTGTTTTTCTATGTGGTTTTATGTCAGGCGAAATGGAGAAAACCTTAGTGATTGGCAAGGCAGCAAAGCCACGATGCTTCCGAAACATGGACATACAGAAACTTCCTGTTGAGTGGAGATCCAACAAAAAGGCATGGATGACGTCACAGATCATGGAGGAATCGTTAACGGCTTTCAATTGTAGAATGAAAATGCAAAACTGGCATGTTTTGTTGTTCTTGGATAACGCAACATGCCACCCCCATATCGAACTTTGCAAAGTGCGACTTGCTTGGTTCCCTCCAAACACCACTAGTGTTTCTCAACCAATGGATCAGAGCATCATTCGAAATGTTAAGGTCCACTATCGTAAATTATTAATGCAATCTTTGCTCATCAATATAGATTCTACATCATCCGCATCTGAACTTGCAAGAACTGTCTCGGTTCTAGATGTGGTTATTTGGATAAGTCAAGCAGTAAAGAAGTTCTTACCAAAAACTGTCACAAAGTGTTTCGAAAAAGCAGGATTTTCTATGGTAGAAGTTACTCCTAGTGTAGAATATGAAAATGACCAGAAGGACTTACAACATTGCATGAATGAAGCTGCTTTCAGTAACTGCAATGCTGAGGACTACATCAATATAGACAAAGATGTGCAAACAGAACCAGACACAATGGATATCGATGTATTAATTGACAATTTTAGAGAAAATCGAAAAGGAAGAGAGGAGGAGAAGAGGAAGAAGAGGAAAATGACATTGTGATAGAAGAAGAAAAGTGTAGAGTGAAGACTTATCAGGATGCTGCCAACAGTTTAAAGGTACTGCAGGAGTTTGCCATGCAACAGAATGATTCAGACATGCTTACTCTAATTTCTCATGCTAAAGTGTCTGTGGGAAGTCAGGCAGCCAAGAGAGTAAACTGCGTGCAAAAAACTCTGCCGGAATTATGGTAAAATTATATAAAGTGACTACTGCGATTTTTTCCTGTTCAGTGTAATGTTTGCATGTGTTCACTGATTACAGCGTGAATAAATCAATGAGCACGTTGTTGTGTTTTGTCTCAAATACGTTTATGTCCTGGTTTAGTTATTATAGTATACCTTGATTAAATGGAAACCTGGCTTCAGCGGAAATTTTTTCTGGTCCCTTGAGATTCTGTTTAAGACAGGTTTTACTGTATTATGTTTTGGACATTATTTATTGTCTTGTCTTAATCTAAAAACCTGAGTAAGTTTCACCTGAAGATGGAGACAGAATCCAGTCTCTGAAATGTTGTGTTTTGAAAAGTAAACAGGACAGTTTTTAGATAAAGACAAGACAATGGATAATATCCAAAAACATAATAATTGTACTAATGTACCATCATCACAAACATTTAGATCTTAGATGCACAGAGCATCTATCAGGCACATAATGAATAACATCATGGAACACAGTCCTCCTTGAGAAACCAATAGACACTCAGCTGGTCAAGAAGTTTCTCACCTTTTACTACCTTTTATCAAACCAGAAGCTTCATTGTTATATTCACAAGATCCCTATACTGGACTCAAATGGTAACTAAAAGACATAAAACTGAGAAGGTTGGTGTAGTGGTTAACACCCTCAACTTATATCATGAAGGTGCTAAGTTAATGTCTCAGCTGGGACACTGGCTATCCTGAGTGAGGAATTCATCATTTTCCTCAGTCCCTCTAGGCAAATGCCAAGATAATACACTCAACTCTCGATTATCCGGGATAACAGTGGGGATGGAAATCATAATTAATCGAAAACCCGGTTAAGACAAATTTTATTAAATGTAGTACTGTAATACTGTACCTTCATAATACTATAGGCCTACCTGTATTTAAATTTATTCAACCTCATTTTTATGTCATCTCATGGCCTATTTAATACTTTTTTACATTATACTGAAGTATGAATTAGTTATTTCAATCACAGTGTTCAACAACATCCAACACTTTTTACGAATATTCACACTTAACACTTAAAAAAATTTAATATTGTCATTTGCTTTTTCGCGGCATTTTCCTTTTTACAGATATCTGTACGAAGCTTACGTAATATTAGCTTGTCACTTAATAAACTGTTCTCTTCACTCTCAAGATAGTCTAGTAAGGATTCCAAATGATTAAGAGCAGCACCATGTGATATTTTCTTACTAGCAGCACTGTCCACCTTTTCCTCATTCTCACTTTCTTCCCACTCTTCTGGCTACACCCCCACTGAACTTACGATTTCGTCACTGCTTAACATTTCGAAGCCCGGCTCACACGTGTCACAGTCAAACCACTCTCTTATGCGTATTTTCCTTGTTGACTTCTTCACCACCATGAACTTGGTTAGCCAATTTTGTCAATTCTATGGCTATCTCATTTTCACTGAATCCAGTGAATCCATGGATTAATTGATTCTTTTGTTTTCTTCAAATCACGAACAATTTGTTCTCCAATACTGTATTGCATTGCTAATTGTTTAACTACACCTCTTTTTCCCAACTGATTGATAATTTCAAGTTTCTGTTGAATACTTAACACAACACGCTTCCTTTTACACCCTGATATTTTGCTAACGCACTTAAAGATCGATACAAAGAGACTAACTGGGGCAGTGTATCTGTCCTTGAAACTTTCCACAAATCCTTGCATTCTTTCACCCCTACCCTAGAACACTGTGTTAGCATAATGGGACCAAAAAATGCAGAGCACGGTTCACACCAGTGCAAAAATAGTGTTACAACTCACCATGTGAAACAGAAGTGAATGAATATTAAACAACATATAAGCCTCAAAAAAGTCCTGGTAGCCCCGGTTAAGCCGCAAACTGGTTTATCCGCCCCCGGATAATCGAGAGTTGAGTGTACCTTGATTAGACTATGACCACTTTTTTCTAAATCCTTTGCAGTTCATGCAATTATAATTCTACTACTTGATGCTATATAGTTCAAGTCAGAGAAGCATTATAAAATAAACCACAATGAAAGAAAGTATAAATGTACAATATTATGTCCTTAATGTATATGCCTCCAATTTCACTCCAATGCTGTTGAAACATTTGAATATGTGTTTGTGTGTGAGTGACTGTGGATGTGTTTGTGTGTTTCAACTCTGTATCCATTCTTTTTTCCATACAAAGGCTGAACACAGTCTGGCATTTAAAGCATGCAGCGAAACTCTCAACTTACTATAATCTTGTTTAACTGCACAACACGACCACCAAACAAATGCTCTTTATTTGTATTCATATTCTGGCTATTAAGTATAAAGGCCTCCATGTCAGAATGATGTGGCCAAATTGCATAATTTCTGGTTCACGCTGTAAAAATCTGAAGATTAATCTTGGCTAAAGACTGCAAAATTTTGCAAATCAGAAGTTGGATTCACGCAAAGTGATAGAACACACCTGGAACTTTAAGGCAATTCAGGCAATAAATTTTACTAAGAGCTGGAAATATTACACAACATGGAAATCTGTTCAGACCACAAACTATTATTCTTGTTCTTGTTGCAGTCATCATTATTGCTATCAGTGCCACTGTCACTGTTTTAATTTTTACTGTTTAGATGGACAAACATTTTACTTACAAATTTAAAGACAGAACGTGAGAGACTGGAATACAAAGCCTTAAGTCTGGAACACTCTGAACGTCCTAGATGTATTTTTCAGAAGATGTGGAGAATATGAAACAAATATATATTTTTGTGAGTGTGTGCATGTGTGAGAGAGAGACTGTATAGGAGCATGCATTCATGCATGTCTGTGGGTTTGTGTGTGGGTGTATACATGTTTTTGGGTGGGACTATGCACATGTTTGTGTGTTTGCATGCATACGCGCTTGTGTTGGCATGTAAGCATCACTGTGCAACAGCATGTGTGCTTATGCATGAACAAGTGTGACCATGTTTGCACTATTGTGTGTGTGTGTACTTGTCCATGAGGTTTATGCATGCACTGGCTTGTGTGTGTATTGTGTGAGTGTGGGTGCACCTTTGCGCATGCGTAAACTGTAGCAAATTTGCAAGTTTCTGCATGCATGGACCTGCTGCACCTGCACATTTGTGTGGGGCTGTGTGCGTCTGTGTGCTTGCTTACGCACATATGCATATTTGTGCACACATTTTGGTTCCTTTGTTTGCTCATGAACATTTGTGCTTTCTAGCATGCATGCATGTGCTTGCTCAGTTATGCACATGAGCGTGTTTGTGCACAAGACCAAGTGTTTGGGAACATAAGCTCATTTATGCATATGAGCACTTGTGTGTTATGAGCACATGAGTGGGTGCGCTTGTGTGTGTGTGAATGTGAGCGTATCCATGAGTGCAAGCATATATATCTGAGCATGTGGACCCATTGTCTTGTGTGTGCGAGCACCTGCCTGTTTTTGAAGGTGGAGAGTGCATTTGTTTCTTTGTGCAGAGGTGACCCTTCTGCTTCTTTGTGAGTGTGAGACTGCATGTTTGTATGCACACTGATGAATAATCGTGCTGCACGTGTCAACATTCACGTATGTGTTTGCATTTTTGTGGTTGTTCATGCATTCGTTTGCAAGCGTTTCCATGTTTGAGCACCTGTGTGTTTGAATGTGTGTTTTTACATTTGGCGTGCATGTTTGTGGGCTCATGCGCATGTTTCTATGCACATGTGCTGTATGTGTGTTTGTGTGTAAATACTGTTTGGTAACTCACTCATAGAAGAAGTATGGTGAGATGTAGTGGCATTATTTTACTGGTCTCTACAGAAGAGACACTAAGAAAACTGCGCACAAGAATCACCGTTCTCTTGAGCTGCATATGTGTACATTCACAAATTTTGTACCACACCTCATATTTCATTCATACAGGAGGTTTCAAAATAAATTCTGTATGTCTAAAATCATGTAAGTTAAAATCCCTTAATACATAAATATCTTTCACTACACATGAAATTACAAGAATGCTGACTGGAAAAAGGAATGTATGTGCAGGTTAATATCATCTATCACTAACCATGAATGGTGTGTGGTGGCCAAGGGCCAGGAGTCGTAATCCAAGACCATGCAGGATATTGACCATGCCTGCCAATCCGGCATATTTTCCAAATGCAACCACACGCTGCCCACGTTCATCCATCAGCTTTTCATAATCTATCAAGCGTATATTCTGTAACATAAAGTGAATGATTACTGTCAGTTACATACTATTGCACCATCATATGACTCCAAGAACATGGTAACATAATATATTGTCACGTGTTGGGTGTATAACACGACAAATAACTCCATGCCTTTGTGGATATAGCGAATTTTATTCCACATTCGCTCTTACAATCATACAATTTACAGATTCACAATAACTGCTATCTGCAGTATCACAAATACTAGACTGCAAATGCTAGAATACAACTGACTGGTTGCTGGCTAACTCATTACTCTCTGCTGGCTAGATTGAGAACTCAGAACTGACTGCTGGCTAACTTGGAACTGACTATGAATAGTCTTCGCTGCTCCATATCTAGCCTCGTTCCGGACAACGCAGAAAACAGCCACGTAATAGGCACGATTGTTGTCTGGCGCCGTGGTTACCGGTGTTACTGGTAACACTGTTGGGAGTGGTCTCTCGCAATGACTGTTTACCCGCGTTGCATAGCGACCAGTGTGCCGGGACTTGGCTCGCTTCGGCTCTGCTCGGCACATCACCACCGGGGGGGGGGGGGTGTCCTGCATAGCGCAACACGTCACACTGCTCCCTCCTTAAGGCTTTTCGTCCCAAACAGCCTAACGGTGCACCCCCGTTTCTTTGTCTTTGGAGGCTGTTCTTACAGCATCTGTTCTCCGGTCGTTACAACTGCTCCCCTCTTAAGACCAGCTCGTCTCGAGCGGTTTCCTGCTAAGTTGCCAGAAGATCCAGTTGCGTCACATTTATTCTTCACTTTCATTCTTGCTAAGGAGGCCGGTGTTTCTATTACCGGTTCCTCCTATACGGCCCTTCTTTTCCTTTTTGGAGGCGGTCGACACCTCCACAGTGTCCAGATTTTACTTCTCTGCAATGGGACAGATGTGAAAATTCGCTTTGCGATTTCCAATCCCTTTGTCCTCCTGAGGGTCTTGTTAAATTCCCACTTGCTTCCAAGCCATAGCTGGTCCTTGAAGTCTCGATTCTCAGTTTCCTTGGTGCCTTCCTGGCGCACCAGCTGTTTCCATCTGGGAGTCCATCCTTTCTGGGTTCCTCTTGTAGAATGGTTTCTGGTCCAATTCTTCTGCCGTCCCTGTTTGGCTGGCGGTCCTTCTTGACTGCATTGAAACCTGCGTCTCTTGCGCTGTGTCACTTTCGCACAGCGGGTCATTTCCTTGTCGGCAGCCAATTCGCGCTGCGGTCCACACTTTACTTGGGTCGAATTCCTGAGGATGTTCCTCTTGCGCCATGCCACTGTTACACGGCGGGACACCTTCCTGCAGGCGGCGGCCAACTTCATCCGGGATCCAGAAATTCCTCGGGTTACTTCCTGTGGCTCTCCATGCCGCCCTGCAGTTTGCTTCTTGCCCCTATACCGCTTCTTCCATCCTTTGACCGGTTTCACTACGGCATCTTCGCTGGGGACTTCTCGTTGTTGAGTCACCTCAGGTTTCCTGTTCACTGAGGTCGGCTCTTTTTCTTCTAGACTTGCCTCCATCTCTTGGCAGGCCGTCATCTCTTTTCTGGTATCCGTTGTTTCTTCTTCAGATTTTAGGACCGGTATCACAATGGCGTCTTCTACAAGTAACTCTTCTTGACGTGCCACCACCTTGTCCAATCTTGCCAAGAAATCCTCTTTGTCTTTTTGGTTGGCTCTGATTTCCTTCAGCAGAAGTTCCATCATCTGCTGCATCTCCATTTTGTAGCAGTAAAATAGTCGAAGCAGTCGTAAGTTTAATTATTCTTCGAGGCACGTTTAAGCTCGTAAAAATTCTAACACCAAATTGTCACCACATCTCAATCAGATTGGCTCAGTGAACTTGTGTTAAAACTGCAGCAGCTCGAGAGATCAGCTTAATGCTAATCACACTGTATAGAAGTTCTACCAGCAGACGGCATAAGATATGATTCACAGATATTTAGAGTACAGAACAGGCTTTCAAATTATTTTCTCCTGTGGTCATTTGAAGGTAGCTCCGGAAGTACTGTGGGCTGCTCTGTGCATCGGCATTTATATCCAAGCAGCTTTGATGTTTCTGGCAGTTACTTCTATTGTGGGGTTCGGCAATCAAAGGGTAAACAAAACCCTTCAACATCTAACATGAATCAGCAGCTCTTGAAAGCCTTCTTCAAACAGCCAAAGATATGAAAATGATGAGGCATGACTCTGACCGTATAGAGAATTTTCCAGTACTGTATGTATTCATGTGTTGGAAGAATGTGTTTATTACTTTCATTCTATTCTATAAAACAAAGTCTACCAGTTTTCCCCTATTACAGTTATAGATCAGTTCGCCAAATGTGCCAGTATTTTCCTTTTGGTTCTGTTGCCTATTCTTATCTTAAAATCACCCCTTAGAAAAAACATGTCTGATTTACTGGCTCTCTATACTGTTTTGTAATATCGTGTAACTCCTGTTATATAATCACCTGGTCAACATATCTATATGATTCAGTGCACATGCGTCCATGTTTCATCAAAGTATACTACAGGCTGTCCTCCAGAATATTTGATGATGCCCTCAGATAGTGGACCCACAATGGTATGGCTCCATTACCATGGACCTCTAATCCTTATATTTTTTAAAATGAAGTCAAACCTAACAAGTTACTTTTCCTGCAGATTCTTCCCATATGAAAATTAACTGCTTTTCTACCAACAAGCAGGAACTTCTTCACAGTCTGCACCTAATGTTTCAAAGTATGGTATATTTCTTGCCTAAGTATACACCAGTTCTTCCTTGCTGTTAGGAGTTTCTCTGGAGCTCCCGTGTCATGTTCTTGTCATGTTATCTGTTAATCCAAAGACCCTAATCATCCCAAATGAGCAGATACTTGTTGTAAAACATTGAGTGTTGTATAAATAAAATATATATCATATATAATAAAATAAATAAATAAATTATAAAATATATATTAAATATATATAAATATAATATATATTAGGCTGCAGAAATATTAATTATAAGGATACAAAATTAATTTAAACACTCTCTTTGCATTCTTGTGACTATTTTTGTAACTTCATTCAGCAGACACACAAAATATTTGTTCATTTTCCCCTCATCACAAACTAATACGCATAAGAATAGCATTTCTTTCCCTACTATCAACAGTTTTATTCAACATGACAATAAACCATCTTACAGATCAATCACATTTAGTTAAACAAGAGCAGAAGAGAGTGCAGAGTACTTTAGAAAAGCAGGAAGAGATTCTTCCTAAAAGCAATGATGGAAGTGGAGTGTGTACTTGTATTTCATATATTTGCTTCAGTTGCCCTGGGGTGGACTTCTATCAAGTTCTGATCTCCAGTAACTGCCCTCAGGACAGCAAGACCAAGACAAAATGAGAGCATAATTCAAACATAAAATAGGAGCGAAAACTTTATGAAGATGCATAATACATTCAAAAATGTTCACAAAGTATAAATGAAAAAGTAAAAATTGAATAGACAGTGTACACAGTGTATGATAAATGAGAATATAAACAACAAATATAATTTTCATACCTTCTCCAGTATAGCATCCAGCAGAGGCATGTTTGCATCCTGTGCCTTGATTGTGTGTGAGAACAGACAATAAGTCTTGTTGGGGATAAGCAGATCTACTGGGACTTGCTTCACACCAAAAATCACTGATGCTTCAGAAATGTCTTCCTGGATCACAGCTCCAGCTGCAGCATATGTCTGAAACATGTTATTCTATAGCATCAGATTAAGACACATTTTAACCAATTGAGAGCAAGTATTCCTTGTTTATTCTTGGCCTATTTAATTAGAATTTCAATCACAAATTTCATATAAAGTCAAATTATAGGATAAGGAGTCAATTATGAATTGTAATGGAATGTGAACAGAAGTATTCACTGCACAATTTATGGTTTCATTTGACCATTTGGATGGAACTGAGGAAAACCACAAAAAATCTTATTCACAAAGTTAAGACAGTTGGTCTTCATGCCAAGATTCCAAACTGGATCTTGTGCATGCAAAGCAGAAGAACCATTTCACCATGATATTCAGTATATCTGGCTAGGAATGAGGAGATTGCTGAGGCCTACTTCACACCACACTTATATATGGCTGGCACTCTTCAGTCACTTATACTCTTATTACCTAAGTAAGTGAGTCAATGCCTGGTCACGTCAAGAGAGGCACTAAGGTAGAGGCACAGTGACAATTATGAGTATTGGGGAAGTTAACTGGATTGATTTTTCAGCAGGGACATACGGAGAGAAACTGGATGGCAGGCATGAAGTACTACCAGCTGTTTACTTCGTATAACATCCTGTACATAAATGCAAATCAAATGTGGTGGTTGAGTTAACTATTGTCCACATTTCTTGTGATGAATCTTCAGAGATTCTTCCTCTTCCCTAAACTTTATTCCGCTGCTATGTATTCCAACATACTCAGAGGTATTACCAGGGAATGGCTATATAATACTGCTATATGTCAGGGCTTGCAGATTTCTACCCAAGTGATGGATTTCGGGGATTTGTAGCAAGAATATTTCACCCCTTAACTTCAGCAGGCAGAACAATGGTGGCATTGGTAAGGACAATGACCATATTCTCCTGTCCCTAACCACCCAAAAGTAGGGTGCTATTAATGGTGGCATCAGGAGATTTAGGCGAAGGTAACTCACAGAGTGAAGCATAACAGTGATGATAGTAGTGTAATTTCACTGCTGACCACTGTGACCAGCTTAGTCAGCATGACTGGTTTAGCAGAGGACTACAAGACGGCGGCAGAAATACAATTAGGCACTTATAGGTCCATGTACTGTATCCATACAAGTGTGATGATTTTTATTTTGCCAGAAACCAGCAATTTCTTTGTTATGTATATTATTATATTTTTACAGTGTCTAAGCATAGGTATGTACTTCATTTAAGGTGGACTGTCCACATGCATGTGTTTGTGTGTGTGCGCACGCATGTGTGAGGAAGAGAGCACTGGACTGAATATGTCCAACACATGCACATAGACAGTGTGTGCTGAGCAAGTTCTGAACTGTGTGTGAGCATGTATGCATATATTATCAGCCATAACTGAAAGGAAACATTATGATATATAATATAGCATTGGTGTAAAATTGCTTATATCCAGCTATGTCACATAATGTAACATTTCTACAAAACCAAAATTTATGCTTTAACTGAGACTTCTCCCACTCCCCCCCCCCCAAAAAAAAATCATGCCAGAAAATCAGCATTGTTACCAATCTTTCAAAAACTGGAAAAAGTGAAAGACTGTTAGTTACAAGTATTTTCATGTTCATAGGCATCTAATCTCTAATGCACTCACCTGCATTGGATATGCCCTTCTATTTGATGGCTGTACAATGACTTTGACTCCAGCACGAGCAAGACGACGTACATTAGATGGTGCAAGTGGTGCCCTCCTCTCCCACACAGACTGGTCCTCCCTTCGAATTGCTATCACTCTTCCTTCTACAGAGGTCTGAAAGAAAATACTTCAATGCTGTGAAACTGAGTAGGGCTCATACTTGGACTGAACATATTTTTCAGTTTCTATTAAGACATAAGAATTCACAGATATTCAAGTTATAATCAGAACTGCCACCATTCTATTTACAGTCCATATAAAAAAGATCTTCCTGGGGAGTAAAGCGTGACCGGCATGTAAGGCTGACAACCTAGCCGCCATCTGTGAGCCGATTGTCTACATAATGTGGGACCCTCAACATCTCACAACACTATGGGCCTTCACGGCCTGTTACAGGGATAGCTTTACTTTTACTTTATAAAAAAAGATCCAACAAATATACTTGTATAACAAATTCTGAATTACTAATTGCAACAGATTATTACTTAACTGGTTATGTTTAAAATCCTGTAACTAAACAATGAACTAACTGCCACCTTACTTAACTGATTGATTCTTGAATTGTTAAGTATATTGTTTCAACTGTAAAAGTTATATAGCACTTAATGAGCTTGGAATATCATTATGAATGGTGAGCAGATAAGGAATTAGAATTAGGTTGTTGCAGCTTACTCTGACATACTACTCTGGCATCTGTCTACATAGAAAGACAAAACATGAGCCCAGAAAAGATTCAAACTGGAACCTCAAAAGTACAAGTCTAGAATGTCATGGCTACACCAGCATCATCTGAAAATCATTCCCTTTTTATAATATTGTGACATGCTGAGCTATGAGCCCTTCCCCACCCCCCGCCAGCCATGATGCGCCGAGCGAAGCCGAAGCGAGCCGATGTTAGCCGAGTCCTAGGATCCTGGTCGCTAGGCAACGCGAGTCAACAGCGGTGACGTCACCAAGTAGTAACAGCGGTTACTTCCGCTAGCGTTACTAGCAACACAGCGCCAGGCAACAAGGGTGCCTATTACGTGGCCGTATTGTCCGATCGAGGCTACATAGGAAGCAGCGAAGGCTATTCATAGTCAGTTGTACTGAGTCAGTCAGTCAGTCCTCGCGCTACCTCCGAGTTAGTTCCTAGTTAGCTAGCAACCAGTCAGTTGTAGTGTGGCATTTGGAGTGTACTATTTGTGATACTGCAGATAGCAGTAATCGTAAATCTGTAATTTGGGTGATTGTGTGTGCGAATGTGAAATAAAATTCGCTATATAAAATACATCGTGAAGTTATTTGTCGCGTTATATACGCCCGACACGCGACAATATCATTCATAAAAACTGAAGTAAAATTAGTGAGGAAAATATTTGAACTTTACAAAATCAATTTCAGGTGCTCACAAACATATCTTATTGAATACTGATACATTTAAATTGTTGAAGTCATTAGTTCATTAACTTCAAGGAATGATGAAGATAAACAATACACACATGCAGAATTTTTATGAGAAAACTTCTTGGAAAACAACAACTTGGTATACTAACATAATAATTAGATAATAATATTAAAATAGGTCTTATGAAAATTAGTGTTTGGAATGTGGAATAGAGATTGGGCTTCTTTAGGATCAAGTTCAGTTGTGAGCTTTTACACTGGCAGTGCTGAACCTTTACATTCTACAACAAGAAAATATGTTTCAGTTTAGTTACTTTAAAGCAGCCTCCGTAGTCTAGGGGTAACATTCCCACCTCATGACTCAAAGGTACGCGGGTTCAAACCCGGCGGAGGTCGTGGAAATTTAAGGGTGGGAAAATTCAGGGAACAAGTCCTCTGGGAGGGACTTTAAGCCGTGTGTCCCGTGTCATAGATTTATGGCATGCAAAAGATCCTTATATCTCTAGGAGACCTCTGAGCAAAATTAGGCAAAGTTTCCCGCCCAAGTAGTTTCCAATTCCTCCGGTAGATGGGGAAGTATCGGGGACCACTGCCAGAGAGGGCCGACCTCGCTGGCAGAATGGGGCTGATAGCGAGCACCAGTACTGGAAGGGCATGGCGACAGTAGAAATTAAAGGGGGACGCACAATAGACTAATAACTAGTCGCAGTGCATGGGGAAACCCACCCCCTCCAACAATAATAATAATAATAATAATTAGTTACTTTAAATTAATATTCAGAAGTCCATTGCATGTTTAATATTACAATTGTTGTTTTCTTAATCATGTCAATATTTGTAAGTTATTAATCTACAAAATGTTAAATTCACATCTTGAGATCAGCAATAGGAATTTTACAATACATGGGAATAAATTTCCACATGCTGTAATATTACTAAAATTCCATTTCATAGGTGAAACGTTCTGAAGACAGTTAATTTGTAACATATTTAAAATAAATTTTGTTCAACATGAAAAATCCATTTAAGACTACTTCCTGAAATGTGAACTACATGTACGTGTAAACTCTGTTTAGAAAATGTAAAGTGAATCTCCCTTAGGGAGAAAGACTTACAGAGAAGTATATGTATGAAACAGGAACTCAGGAAAACAGATGGCAAAAATATGAAATGCAGTGGACTGATTCATGAAGGGTCAAGCTAGAAAGCATTTTGATGATTGATGTATCTTGAGGATCCATATAACAACCAGGTAGATGCTCCATGACTTGAGTTCATAAATATACCGTATGCTTCTAATCATAACTAAGGAGAGTAAAATACAATTTACTAGAATTTCAATTTAGAAACTCTTGGCCATTCTGAAGAAGTAATTATGCATATGTACAATATACATTAAGTAGAAAGTCATCCTGTGTGTTACTCACGTGTTTAGCACTCTTGTTGAATATGAAGCCACACTGCTTGCATGCCTTCATGGTGGCAACCACAGATTGTTGCATCTTGATATTTCCTAAAACAACAGCAAGTAAATTAGTGTGGCCTGAACTGCTTGCCAACTTTTGATTTAGTCTAGGGTTGAAATATAGTATGGCCCACAAGTAAAAAACAGCAGTTTAACACACAATGATATGGAGATATCACCAATAATTTTTCAATAATTCAGTTCTTTAATTATTTGCATGCTTCCTCGACAGCCCAAAAGGCCAATTATAAAATAAGCATTAGCAAAAGAAAGAAACAAAACAGACACATAGACACAAAGGACACAACAGAGCAAGTATTCACTTAGACAATAATGTGGCATACAGACCTGTTTCTAGACAACGACAACAGAATGACACCTGTTGTTAGGGAACAGATTCTTAACAAGCAAGAACAGGTGGCCGCTGCTATTGAACAGCATGATAAACACACTCCTGCACCAATCGATACACATGCCACAGAGGAACAGTGTTGTCTACATGGTCTGCACTGGGATGTTATTAGTAAGGGACACAATTAGAGCTTGGTCAGTCTGTGAACAGAAGACTTAGTTGGAGTTGCAAGAGTGACATCCAGAAGGGAGCTGCCATTAAGAGAGGACTTGACCAGGGAACCAGAGGAATAGCCACTGTTAGAAACCGTTACCAGGCAACTACTACTGAAGACACTGTGGGCTGGAAAAACCTTAGTGTAGATTCTAGTGAATTGTAAAGTGTGGAAATTAGCGATGGAGCCTCGAATCTTGACAGATGATCAGAAACGTCAGCTTCACATTTCATCTGATCTTTTACACAATGCAGAGATGTTTGATAGGGTCATTACTGGTGATGAAATGTGGTGTTTTCAATATGACCTGGAAACAAAATGCCTGAGCATGAACTGGAAAATACAGAATTCACCTAAGCCAAAGAAGAGCATGCATGTCTCACTTGCAGTTCAAGACCATGCTTGTATGTTTCTTCGATCACAAGGGAATAGTTCACCATGAATTCATTGCACAAGGACAAACGGTGAATCATTTTCAAAATACTGACAAGGTTAGGGGAATCTGTTTGGAGGAAAAAACCCAAACTCTGGCCTGACAAATGGATTCTTCACCAAGACAACGCCCCTGCGCATGATGCTTCAAGAGTTTGCTAGTTCCTGTCTAAGAATTCCATTACAAAAATGGACTATCCACCTTATTCACCTGACTTAGCCCCCTGCAATTTTTGGCCCTTACCAAAATTAAAAAATGCCCTGAAGGGATAAAGATTTACTGACATTCCTGACATTCAACACAACATGACAACATGAAATGACTTTCAAGACTGTTTCCAGCAGTGGCACCATAGTCTCACAAAGTGCATAGCTTCACAAGGAGAGTACTTCCAAGGTGACAGCGCCACTAGGGCACAGGTAAGCAAATTTCACTTTCACAGGGCCATTCCAGGAATTAAATTTTCACAACTTGAAAACAGTACAGCAGGGTGAGTTATGGTTTACTGTCCATATGTTGTCATTACAAATGTGTCCTGCCTGTTGTGTTTCTCTCCTTGTTTTAGTCTTTAAGATTTTTCTTGACATACCACGTATTTTATCATAATTACTGAACTTTTACCTAAGACTTAGTATAAAGTACATATTATGTCACTTTCTACATGTTTAAAATGAGATATCTGTTCTGGTATATTACTATGAATTATTTTAGTTATAAAACTTAACTCAGATCTTGTGACATATTTTTAAAAATACATATCACAATACCTAAGAGAATAATATGACTTGGGATCTGATCTATGGAACTCATTACATCTGAATCAACAGTATTCCATGCCAAGTTCCTCTCTCATTAATGTTGAACAGTAAATTATGTGTAATTATTTTCACACAAATACTTTCATGTAATTCAGGCTGTGTGCGCCATTCATGGAAGGTAAATTATTAACATCAGGTATATAATTTGATGAATTTAAATATTCTAAATACCCATTGCAGGGCACATCATAGATTACATCAACAACATGTGATTATTTCTAAATTTTACGCTGCATTTATTCAAGTCAATCGATTCAGTGGTAAAGTAGTTTGTTCAAAGTAGCTCACTGATGCTATAAACTAGGAGAATGTGAGTTAATTTAGTATATAATGCACAAGCAGTTAAGCTGTGATAAAATATAACACATTATAAAACCCCATCCCATTCTTTTACTCAGTAATTATACAACCCAAATTTTCTACATTTTACAATTCTATTTCTATATTGTTACAAATATATGTCAAACTATGACATTAATTAATTAAACAATATTAATTAATTTTTATATCTTACACCTAGTGCAAAGTTTTCAGTGCAGTAATATAATAGAAAGTTCAGTATTTTCTTCTTCTCCTGGAGTGACAAGGTTTAGGCCTCTAGCGCCTGTTCTGAGTGCCACCAATGATCTGACCACCTTCTTTCTGGTCTCCCATTATTTCTTTTTCCCCAAGGCTTGTACTGTATTGCCGTCTTGGGCAGTCTATTATTCTCCATCCTACCCACATGGGCTCTCCATAGCCTTATTTCTAAATATTCTGTTATATCAGCTATGAGTGGTGCTGAGATAGCTCAGTCAGTATAGAGGTTGGCTACAGGTTGCAGAGCAGAGATGAGAGATTTTTCTTCACTCCACAGCATCTAGACCATCTCTGGGACCCATCCAGCCTCCTGTACTATGGGTACTGGGGGTAAAGCAGCTAGGATGTGATGCCAACCAGTAATCTCCACCTACTGTTGAGGTCAAGAATAGCGGAGCTATACATCCACTCCGCCATGTCTTCATGGTGCTTAATTAAGCATATGGACAAATTTACCTTTACCTTATTACGTACAAATTGCCCTCTAATAGCTTCATATCAAATATGGTTCCTTAATATAGACTCCTGCTGCCTCATAGTCCTGATACTGACATCATTAAACAAACAACTAAAAGATAACATATACCCAGCAACTGATCTCAAATCTCTTCCTGTCCTTGCTTTTTAGAATCCACATTTCACCTCAAAACATCATAGCAAGTCTTGCTGTCCGTTTATGGAGTCTTAATAAAAATCCTTGACATTCCTACAGGAATTACTTTTAACTCACCCACTTATTCTATTTAAATTATTTCTCTTATTTTACATGACCAGTAATTTCAGATTGTACTAAGTATGTAAATATCTTAACTTGCTGAATTATTTGATTAAGTCCAATTTTGGCCCACAATAATTCATTGTATTTTGGAGACTGATTCTATTCTAGATAATGGAACTGCCATCCTGCATAATGAACCAATTTTAAAGAGATGATATGAAGCTCTCTGAAGCTCCTCATCAGAGTTACTCAGGAGAATTTCATCATTTGCAAACGGTACAGTTGAGATGGTGAATAGCTCTATAACTTCCATTCCTTTCATGCCTACTTTTTCCAGTTTTCTAATACTTCATTTCTATATAGGTTTCTCATTATCACATACCATATTTTACAGGATGGTTCCTGGATATCAGAAAAATTTAAAACGTTCATATGAATGAATAACCTCAGGACCATCCTCAAGAAGACAAGAACACACATTTTCTGAGCTAGACAAATTTTTTCACCGTAACCAATTTATACCAATGGCCACATTCCACAGTGTACAAATGTGTAATCCCTTTCACACATTAATTCATGCTAGCCAACCATTATAAATGATGAATCGGGTAATCTCTGTGCTATTGTACAAAGTAAAGAAGTTACTGGAAATTCTTGACACTGAGATATCATTGTACATGCTGAGAAACTTTTCTCAATTAAATCTTGAAAATCTGAGACTCACACATACATACACAACTTTTCAAATTAGAATTTCAAGAATTATTACAATTTAATCTGAAAATCACAGTACATATTCACAAATGAAGGTGTATGCACTGGACAAACTAGTAACAACCAATAAAAATTACACCATAAAATTAATAAGTATTACAACAAATAGCAATACATAATTAATGTATGATTTATCCACTGTGTCCTACATTATGAGGGACACTATGAAGCCTCAAAAACATATTTAAATGGCCACAGTCATAAGAACACCTAAAAAACTTACAAGTCAAAGTCATGTGGTAACTCTGAGCTTTCTCTGGGTCCACAGGTCAGACTGAGTACCAGGACACAAATAAATGATTCAAACGTATTTCCAAAGACTATGACACTCACCTCAATTTTCAAAATAAACTCAGAATTGAAACAGATACCAAACTGTATCCCTCGTTTCTTATTAACTGTTTACATCATTACAGAATACATTATTGTGAGGATGGAAACGCAATGGGCTCTTGCAGCATCTGGAGTAGCAAGCATCTTCTTAGATAAGAATAATCATGATAGCATTTGACCTGCGGGGTAAAAGGTCATATGAATACTGACATTTCTTTCAGTCCTACATTCTGTACATAAAATGACACAGATAAGCAAGTTATCACAGAAGAAGATAGCAGTTGCCTAATGGAAATAACTAATTCCAGCCAAACATCCAATCAGACGTGAAGTACCATTAATATAATGAACCATGGGTTTTCTTTTGTTCTTAGCTGTGACTATACTTTGTGGAAATTTACTCTCTATTTCATAAATTAATGATGTCAAATACTGATTTCTTCCACTGGCAAACACTATCCAAACAAGTGATCAATGGTGAAATGACAAAGTGATAATGACGTCTCAAAAACAATATATATACATATACTATGACCCCCAAGAAACAAGAACACCAAACTTGCTGCTCCTTTCTATTAATTTTACACTTAATACTTTGGTTGTGAGAAAATAATTATGAATAATGGAATGATAGAAATATGTCATAAAATTTTAATAGTTTGTTTCAAGATGTGAAGATATCCTGGAGGAAGGGAAGGAAATAACTTTAAACCTCTAAAGCCAGCCATCAAAGCAACTTGTTCAGGGATACTGGGTTTTTGGACTTTCTCCATCGTCCGGATTCTAAATAAGAAAAAACACAACGTTTCGGAAACTGGATCAGTTTCCATCCTCAGGTGAGGAAAGACACCTACTCTGTTGGGTCCCTTAGAAAGAGCTAGCCTCAATCACTGGACAACCGATGTGTTGTCAACCAATCGGCTGTCCAACGATTGAGGCTAGCTCTTTCTAAGGGACCCAACAGAGTAGGTGTCTTCCCTTGCCTGAGGATGGAAACAGATCCAGTTTCCGAAATGTTGTGTTTTTCTTAGTTATTTAGAATCCGGATGATGGACAAAGTCCGGAAACCCAGTATCTGTGTGTGTTATACACCATCATCAGAAGCCTATAGTATCAACTTACTCAGAATTAGCAAATTCTGTCATATGTGTCAATTCACAGCTGTGTAATTGACCTTAAAGCTCTCTCATCTTATGAACCCACTGTGCCCATATGACATTTATCATGCAGTAGCACATACATTTTTAATTTTCCTCTTCATTACATTCCCACATGATGCTACTTAGTTTGGCTGTAGACTGCAACACTTTTTAAATTAATTTTCTCATTCACATCAGCATATGAAAGAGTTACTAATTTTCAGAATAAGAATTAACTTTAATAATATTAGCCTTTCTGATTTTCACTACATCACCTAAGAAGGATGTGCAAACAGTTTAATTTTGAACTATTCATAAGAACAGCTTTTGTTCAGATTGAAAGGAAGCATGTACATACGTATAAAAAAACATTCTAGTTGAAGCAACTGTCCTGATGGAAACTTCACAAATACAATACAAATCATTACATTAAATATGTTGTAACTTCTTAATAATATCCTTCCAAGAATACTGACAGTATTCTTACCAGCCATCTACAGGTGTGCCATTTGAAGGCCAATATTAATTTTTAAAAACATTTTGTTCAATAATCACTGATTTGAAAAATGCTTTTCTCTGTTATTAGAATAATTATCTCCCATTTTCCAGCAATTTCAAGCAGAATTACAAGACCCCATTCACATTCTGTGGAACACTACACCATGATGTATATAACCTGATGGGATCGGGTTAAGGCACTGAATTTCCATACAAAAGATCTCAGGTTCAAGATCAGCTGAATCCAGCAAGAATGTTTCCATATCTTCCCTTCCCTTCCCTTCCCTTGCCTCTGCAAGGAGAAACTTTGTGTATGTGAGGAATTCCAAGCTTTAGCCACAGTTCACCCCACAAATCAGGCTTTAAATCCCTTGTAGTGGTAATCATATTCACTGTCATTCCAGATGGAGCATAATGGAAATCATGCAACTCGGTGAATCCATAAAAAATGTGGATCTGATTCCTATCTCAACCACAGCCAGGCAGGCAGAAGCAGAATGGTCAAAGATCATATCTTGTGCAACAGCTTATCACTAATACAGTATAGTGATAAAATGGAATAGTTTACTGCCTAAAAGGCATTGAAGTCACTTCATATGACCTGAAAATAGGTGGCAATAGAGGTGGAGAAATATACAATGAAATAAGAGAAGGAACAAATAGTAAGATTGTGGTCTGTGATATGACATGGTGCAGTATGGTAGATAGGCACCAACATTTAAGAGTATCTTCAGCATAAAAGATAGAGATAGCAGGTTCCTCCAAAACACTGGTATATATCTAACAGTAAAACATCTGCAATTCATACCTTATGGTATGAAATTTCAAAGTAAATATTAAGTGTGTTTATCCAGTATGAATGATCCAGAAACCACATAATCCAAACTACCCGGAGACAATCAACAGACTTTATATCCCTTAATATTTTAATTCAGCTCATGAGTACAGATGAAGCATATATGTGGATTACATAAATATTGTGACATGTTGACCCCTACCTCCCCAGCGGTACGTGGCGGTAACGTAACGCTCGCGTTCTTACGGTAATAGGCGAGTTCCCGCCCCGCCACTCCCCTCCGCGGTGACGTCACCGAGGGATATCGCGGTCGCTAGGCAACGCGAGTCAACAGCGGCGACGTTACGATAGTAACAGCGGTTACCTCCGCTAGCGTTACATAGCAACACAGCGCCAGGCAAAAAGGGTGCCTATTACGCGGCCGTTTTCCGTATGGTCCGATCGAGGCTACATGAGGCGCAGCGAAGGCTATTCACAGTGAGTTGTACTGAGACAGTCAGCGAGTCCTGGAGCTACCGCCGAGTTAGCCAGCAACTAGTCAGTTGTATTGTGGCATTTTTCAGTGTACTAATTGTGATATTGCGGATAGCAGTAATCGTAAATCTGTAAGTTGGGTGATTGTAAGTGCGAATGTGAAATAAAATTCGCTACATCAAATACATCGAGAAGTTATTTGTCGCGATATACGCCCGATACGCGACAATATATACAGAATATTTTATTTACATTGAAAATACCAGAATATCATTAATTGTCTGTACCCAATACTTTGAACAGAAATCTACACACTCTGCAATTTTATAGCATACTTTAATTACTGGATCCACAAACTATATTTTATATAATGCTTGACATATCCATTATTTCATCATCTGTGTTCAAACTCTCATAACCCTCCAAAATTCTGTTCCTTTCCGATTCCCTAAATGGCAGGTTCTCATTAGAAAATTCAACATCTTTTACTGTCAGCATCTGTACACAAACTTCAGAATCCAGAAGTCTGTCACACGAATGTGTACCTCTTTGTTGGGGACCTTTAAAGTATAGCCCGGACATTTAAATTAACTCTGGCCAGCTGCCATTTTGGGAATTTTGCACCGCGCCCTTCGTCTTCCTCTCCACTGAGTACTATTATATTATTATTATTATGAAGAGGAAGGGCACAGCGCAATCGTTACTGGCTCTATTGTTGGTTCTCACGCTCCCCTAGATGGAGATGGGGTATCCAAGCTAGGAGGAGGAAGCTACACTCAGTCGTTGGCTTAGATAAAACCAGATACAATTTAATAACAAAATATAACAATACATAAATAACAAAAAAGACACATTTGACCAAGAAACAAAGACAAGCTCATTTAGACTAACTATTTCCCGTCGGCACCACTTGTGTCGATGCTAGAAATATCAAGACGTTAAGCCCTCCTGCCATACAAACGCAAGTCTGAATTCTGAGACTAAAAACCAAACCAAAACCAATACGCGCGTCGCAAGCATTCCTGCAACGGCTTGCGATGGCGGGCAGTCCTTACCGGCCAGCAGATAACACCAAAGGGAATTTAGAACAGCCCCAGCCGAAACCAATATTTTCCACCACCAACCTGCTGGCTAGTAAACAACCTTCCAAGTCGACTTGGTCTAAACGACTGCACTGCACAAGTCTCCCCTTCACAAGAGGGTACACGGGACCACGTGACTGACGTCAGGATACTGCATAGTGGGGATGGAATCCGTCACAGGAAAGATGATGACATCATCGTGAGCGAGCTAAAGCTTAGCACGGCTCACTATCCCCCCCTTCTCGAAGAGCATCTCACATCTAATCTCTCTTACACAGAGCTCCTCAAGAGTTCCAATGCTCTACACATATCACCTGCACAGTGTGTCCAGTTTCCGCCCTAAATCCTCCGAAGACACATACCGAATTAGAAGTCCCTTCGTCGTATAGGGCTCCTCAGGGTCCTACTCACTCCCTTCACTTTGCCAGCTACACGCTTGGCACCTTTGACAAGGAGTCCAGAGTATATCCCTACAGTGCACTCGGCGTACCGAAATAGAAGTCCCTTCTTCATATAGGGCTCCTCGGGGTCCTACTCACTCCCTTCACTTTGCCAGCTACACGCTCGGCACCTTTGACAAGGAGTCCAAAGTATTTCCCTACAATGCACTCGGCGTAGACACGTGTTCGATCCACAAACGTTCCGGCCATTCATGGCTGATCGATGAGATGTTTTCTTCCTCACTAGCTCCTGCCACTGTCCGATAAAGGGCCCAGACGGACAACAGCACCGGAGCCGGGAGAACTTCACTTGATGCGAGTCAACACGACTTGGCGGGCAGGTTGTTGACGCTGCGAGGGGGGGGGGGTGCTTCCGAAGATCGCCATTTCCATCCCACCTAGGATAGGGGAAGTAGGTGGGGGGACTAGGATACCCTCCTGCTTGAAAAGAAGAATTGTACAGTTAACGAACAACCAAATACATCATTTAGCAAGTTAATAGCAAGTAAATACATCCTTCGGGCCAAATGATACCAAATAATACATCATTTAGAAACATCTGAATGACAGACCAAACCAATACACAATGTAATCACTCTAGTATCTAAATTTGCCAACTGAACTGTTACCAGAGAAAGGAATCTTACAATCTTAAGTGGTCTAAACCACCTATAGTCCAACTTGGCGGAACGCTGCTGGGACTTCGAACTTAACGGATGCGTTCTCACTAGGACCAAATCGCCCACACGAAACTCTGCTCGTCTCCTCCCTGCGTCATAGCGTGCAGCAACCCTGGCGCGGGCCTTTCCCAAATTATTTAAGGCCGTCTCCCAGAATTCCTCCCTACTCCTAGCACCCTTATCTAGGTCCAGTTGGGACAAGTTCCATTTTAGCCCCAAGGGATGGTTCAATTCTCGACCGAGAAACAGCGAGGCTGGAGTCGCTGCAGACAACTCGTGCCACGCTGCGTTGAAGGCTAGAGCTAGCGAGGACAGCTTGGACTGCGTAACTCCTTCAGCCAGTTCCTCATATTGTCTCGTAAGACAATCGCCCACGACATTAGCCTTGCCACACATGTGGCTCACTCTACTAAAAGGGCACCAGACGCAAAACCCATCATCCAATTCTACCCAACTCCTTGGAGTGGCGCAGCAACCATGCCAACGCTTGGTTGGCCGTGAACAGAGAAAACTCCTTATGCTCCAGGTACGATCCACACAGGAGTTTCTCCACTGCGTCATAGGAACACGGGAATTCCTACGAATTACACCTTGCCCAAATCCATGGACTCAAAGTCGAACTCGCTGTCAGGCTGGGAGAAAAAATAATATTTACGGGCGGAAAAATCTATTCGCACTTGTGCGAACGTCAAGAAATCAACACCCAAAATACACGGAACGGGGCAGTCATCTAAGACTAAAAACCCAAACTTCCAAGAAAAGGAATGTATCTTACTTCCCAACACGCAGACCCGTGAGAGAACACACGATTCCCCGTTCGCCATCAAACATCGTTCCTCCATTGTCTCGACGGTATAAGGCAAGTTCGATCCTTTAATAGTATCTAAGACGTCGCATCTTATAAAGGATCGAGAGGAGCCGGAATCTAACATCGCCGGTAAACAAAAGTCCCCAATACGTACGGTCACGAAGGGAGAGGGCCGCGAATCCCTAGGAAAGAAAACTCTGCGAGGTGGACTTAGATTCGGCACTCGGGACCCACCACTTACTCCCGCGCGCCGAGATCGTTTCCCGAACTTCCGGGAGCCCGCCTCTGGTGAGGCCTAGATGGACAGTCACGCAAATTATGCCCAGGAGCTCCACATCCCCAGCACCTGCGTCTAGAATCGGCCTTGGCAGCAGGTGTCTGGCCTATTACCATACCACTTGCAACCGGCCGGGAGACACACCCCTGTTGAGCGGAGGCAGTCGTCCGCTTACGCTGGTTCTCGACCGCCACTGCTTCCGCTACAGTAGTAGCGAGCGAAAACAAATCTTTAATAGACTCGGGCCGAGTTGCAAATAATAAATACGATTTTACCTTGGGATGTAAATTCTGCAGCATACGCTGCACTAACTGAGCTTCCGAGCCAGAAAATCCTAGGATATCCACCGCTGCTACAACTGACATGATGTAACTATTCAGATCTTCACCTGGAGATTGGAACCTCTCAAGGACATGCGACGCTAAAAACCGTTCCTTCACACGACAAGGACGAAACGTGGAAATTATTTCCGTTTGAACCAGTCCCCAGCATTGGGTCGTCCCTACGTGTGCTCCCAGGATTTGCGTAATCCTTCCCGACGTTCTGCTAACCAGAAGCGCCATGAACTCAGAATCTGAAACCAATTTTAGGTCAAAAACTCCTTTTGCCCGGATCAAGAACGTTAAAATTTCTTCCGGGTCTGTAACAGACAGTACCGGAATAGCCGAAATTAAATCGGTCGCCAACTTAAGTTTGACCTTACTTAAACAGTACCCCTGATAACCCACAGAATCAGTACTTTGCAAAACAGGCTTCGTAACTACAGACGACTTAGCTGTACTTGGAGAAGGCAAGCAGGGCTCGATGGCGGTCCATTTTTCCTTAACTCGTTTTCGCAAGTCATCCAGCGTTCCGTCAGTAGACAGGCCCAGTTGACGGGCCAACTCCTCCGCCTGCTGCTTGGACAAGTCGTAAATCCACGCTAACGGCATCTCATACAAGCATGGAACACAACAACAATAACGTTAGTGCAAATAGCAGTACTCTCTGCCCGAGCCAGCAACACCTTGTTCCAAAAGTACGTACACTCAAACACTACGTCTCTTAACCAGGACAGGGACTTCGAAACAAGAGAGAATCTCTCTCTTAACGACAACCACGCTCTGCTACCATCTGCACCGCGCCCTTCGTCTTCCTCTCCACTGAGTACTATTATATTATTATTATTATTACGAAGAGGAAGGGCACAGCGCAATCGTTACTGGCTCTATTGTTGGTTCTCACGCTCCCCTAGATGGAGATGGGGTATCCAAGCTAGGAGGAGGAAGCTACACTCAGTCGTTGGCTTAGATAAAACCAGATACAATTTAATAACAAAATATAACAATACATAAATAACAAAAAAGACACATTTGACCAAGAAACAAAGACAAGGTCATTTAGACTAACTATTTCCCGTCGGCACCACTTGTGTCGACGCTAGAAATATCAAGACGTTAAGCCCTCCTGCCATACAAACGCAAGTCTGAATTCTGAGACTAAAAACCAAACCAAAACCAATACGCGCGTCGCAAGCATTCCTGCAACGGCTTGCGATGGCGGGCAGTCCTTACCGGCCAGCAGATAACACCAAAGGGAATTTAGAACAGCCCCAGCCGAAACCAATATTTTCCACCACCAACCTGCTGGCTAGTAAACAACCTTCCAAGTCGACTTGGTCTAAACGACTGCACTGCACAAGTCTCCCCTTTACAAGAGGGTACACGGGACCACGTGACTGACGTCAGGATACTGCATAGTGGGGATGGAATCCGTCACAGGAAAGATGATGACATCATCGTGAGCGAGCTAAAGCTTAGCACGGCTCACTTTAAATGGCCCGTCTCTTAAAGGTTAATGCTTCTGTGCCTTTCTTCTGTTTTAAACCACAGTCCAAGTTTATTTCTCTAATTTTATTTTGGTTCACTTGTTCAGCACCGTTTTCAGTACTATGAGCCAAATTACTACAAAGGTAATTAAATTTTAACTTGATTGTTTCTCTGTGGTTTGGGGACCTAACTGCCTTTGTTTTGTATTCTCATCAGACAAATTCTTCAGGTTTCCTTCTCCAACTTCAGAAATGATATCCAATCTTTGCAAACTACTTTGGATTTTGGAAATATCATCATCATTACTTGAAGACTTCACAAATGCAGAAATATGTTTCTGCTTCTTATAGTGTCCTCCACTCTCTTTGCACTGGCAAGAACAAGTTTTCACTGATGTTATTTTTGTTGCCACCTTCCTGCTTGGCTTCCCTATAGATGAATATAACATGAAAATCAAGTTGAATTATAGAGTATTCAGGCATTTTAATGACACTCTGTCAACTACATTAGTTTGAGAAAAACATAGTGTTTTACAATATGACAACAGTTCTGCAGATTTTGAAGATTGTAAGATTGTAAGATTCATGCATTAACCCTTTCCTGGAAGTCACATGTCAGTTGTATTTTAAGAAGCTGGGTAATACTTCACTACTGCAACCCCACACTGATCACTATATGCAACCTCTTCCGTTCTCATCTAAGTAACTATTTTATTCATTCTCTCCTTATCTGTGTACTGGATTGCAAAATGGTCCTCACATGTACATAGTACATATCAGTCACAGTTGGGACATGGGTGAGAAAGCAGGGTGCCCACCTAGGGCATAAAAAAAGGTATGGGAGCTCACAATTCAAATAAATTAATACAAAATATGTATCCACATTCACTTCCATTTCTTTCTTAATGTTGGATAACTTCCAATGACTGCAAAAAATAAAGAAGTTTTCCTATCATAGGAATGTCACAACCATCAAATAAATCCAATGATTCAAAATTGTAAAGCCTCCCTTTGGAACACTGAAAGTTCCCATCTTTAAACATCTCACAAAATGGAAGTAGGGTTTGCCTTCATCAGTGGTTCATCAGTTGGTTCAGCATCCAGTCATTCATGCAGAACCACTTGAAGGGTATGAAGTTAATTTTTTTATTTACGATATGTTTTAAAAAGTTACCTGGAGAGGAGATGGGTAACCTGACAGCCAGTTCTCATTAAGCTAACAGTTTACACTCACAATGAAGCTAACAATGTCTGGTTGTTTCCAACTTAGGTCAAGTTCAGGGAGTGTCTGGCTATGCAAGAACTCATCCACCAAGGCCTGAGGGAAGTTTCCATCTTGCAAATGCCTTCCTCCTCATTGTTAGTTCTGCTGTAATTTCTTTCTTTCCTGAAATATATACAATTAAATAATTATTGAAGATTTATTTCTTTGAATTTTATTATATGTTCATCATGCTCTAACTGCATGCAATTGGTCCTTCTGGCCAAGTGTCACAACACAGAAACACTAAAACATACTTTATTTCAAGCCAGTCTATAGCAGCTGTGGTATTCAAATTTGCTCACCCATGTACAAAGACTTCCAACAAGCTTTCCTGTTGTTAGTTATTTATAAACACCAAACCTGAAAGGGAATGAAAGCATCAAGTTTCAGTCACATTTTCATGCTGTTCATATTCCTTCAAGGTCTTCTCAGCTATAAGATAGTAACTTCTGTAAGAGTTAGAGAAAACACTACAGAATTACTGCAAGAAACAAAATTTTACTCATAAAGCTTGTATTTGTATTTGTATTTACTGTAAGTTCAAGAGATCCAAAGATGGATATAGAACATGTCATCAAATAATATAGCGCATAGAATACATACATAGATATTACATAAATAGACAGTACAATGAATACAACAATAATAAAATTTATCTATCTAGATATTCATCCACAGTATAAAACCTATGAGTATTCAAGAAATGCCTTAATACAACATTAAACTTTTGAAAATTATTAGATGTGTTCTTGATCTCTATGGGCAACTTACTGAATATTTACTGAATATTTTTATACTCACATAATAAACTCCTTTCTGATAAATATTTAAATTAGTTTGAGGTACATACAAATCTTGTCTTTGTCTAGTATCAGTAGTATGAGAATCAATGTTTGATGGAAAAAGAACTTTATTTTGCAATACAAATACTAACAACGAAAATATATAGTGATGCAAATGATAAAATATTTAACTCTTTAAAACAACAAACTAACACATCACATTATATGTTCTAGACTAAACTATAAAATACAATTACAAGAATGTCAGCTGTAACAACTCATGCTTTACTATAAACAATGTGATTTTCTAAGCAGTTTAATAGACGGAAAGAAAATAATTCCCTGATGCTGTATACTACCTGCTAGCACATGTAAGCTGGAAGATTAGATGGCAAACATGCAATCCCTTGTCTATCACACCGAAATACACATATAACTTACTAATCCCTCCCCATCATTCTTCATGCTATAACACATACTCTACAAACCACTGTGCACATCTTACACTGTCATTGAACAGGATTGCCAGCATAACACTAATGACAACATGTGTCTCGCTATGCATACCACCTAGTTATAAGCAAGAATTCTTCATGCAAACAAGTTATGTATATAAAAGGGGAAACTTCTGAATCTATTGTGCGTGAATGGAAATCTTAACATTCTTGAAAACACTTCAAAACCTCACTACACGTCACTGTATATAAAACACACAAAAATATGTCACATGAGACAATTCAAACTTCAATTTACACTCGACATTATTGTGCCGAAACAACATACATTATACCCACCACTCTGTCACCCAGAACTAACATATAAATTAAAAAATATAACTTATTCAATGGGAACTAGAAATTCACTTTGCATCCTCTTCTTACAATTATTTATACTTTGCAAAAAAATTATATCATTCTCACTAAAAACCTACTAACACGTATAATATTCAGAGGCTACATTCCAAAACTACACCCTTTTTCTATCATACCAAATATGCACTCACAAAATATAATTCACTCTCTATCCATATACCCACTAAAACACATTTTCTGCAAATCACTGTACATACTTCTCACGAAATTATTAATAATAGTGCAAGAAAAACCTCAAAGACACATTGTTTTCACTACACACCCACTATTCTTTTATGCACTTACTTTCATTAAATAAATGTACGTTATGGTGAATTCCACCTTTGAAAATACTTAATTTTCATAGCTCGGGGGGAAAACACTTCGATTTCGTTTTGGAACTGAGGAAACACACGTTTGTAAAATTTCTTGCCCTCGCCATTACTCGGTCCAGGATAAAACATACATTGAAGCCAAAAATTGGCACTATCTCACTGAATCTTTTAAGATATACTTTCAGGCAGATAATTTATCAGAACTTGTACATATACTCGTATGTATATAAATATATACACATAACACCGTCTTATTATTTATACACACCTCTTCATACTAGAAAAGTAACGTACCTTGACTTTCTACACCTGATATTTTGTTCAAAATGACAGGCAGTGACAAGGCAGCAACAGCACAACATAACTGAAACAGAAACATTCCATTTTCAGTTCCATACAGGAAGGTAATTTCTCAATATATACTTTACCCATTTTCGTGTATACTATTTTATTCTACTTCCTATCGAGGAAGGGTATTTCGGGCGAAACATATGCCAAGCAGTCACTCAATTGCTTGCGTATCCATCCACGAGAAGGAAGGGAACGATTTCACTGATAATAAAGATTTTCCGTAATAACATTATGTCACTGGGGGGCAGCATAATGACATCATAAGTGATAATCTGTTATCATTCGTATCACCGTGGGGGATGCGCAAACTCGTGAGGTTGGAGCGGCGTTTTGACACAATCTGAGCTATCCTGTAGCAATATAAACTCGGAATACAAGGGGATAGATTGATATTAAGGGTGGAAAAACAGTCAGTACGCGCTATTTTATACATAACGGCATATTTCGTTTTATATTCCATCTTAGGACAATCCTATATTACGTACGGTTAAATAGCCGCTTCGTATATGACGTCACTCTTAGATGTACGCAATCAACTACTTCGAATCCGCATGAAACTCAGGGGTACTATTTGCTGATGTTAGGTAAGGTTAGGTTAGGTTTGCGCAGTAGACTACTGACCAACCATCTATAACTTGGAGGGGGCGAAGTTCGGTAATTTACGATAATGTTAGGTTGTCAGTGTACATTATGACAGGTGTGTGCAAATCACTATTGCGCATCGTTATGCTCAGTTGAGCACTGTTTGGCCGTCGGCAATATCTCACGATCGAATGTCTGATAGCGTATGAATTCATTATATATTTATACGGGACATTTTATTTCCGAATTTTCTCACAAGATAAACTCTGGCTTTTTTTTCTGTTAAACTCTCTACGTAATCTATAAAACCTGCAATATATTACCATATTTATAAAGATCATAAATGCATTTTTTTCTCGAAATATTGACAATTCAGAACGCTCTCAATTGCATTATATCACAATTATCTTCATTGACACTTACGAAATATTCCCTTTTTGAATGTTCCCATTATTAACTCTATTATGTTTTTCGACATATCTGAAGGATATTCATATACTTTAAATCAAAGGTATCCACTCCACAATACTAGTGCTCAAATACTAGATAGGGACATCAACGAATACAATCTGAACCTTGAGAAAATATTCTTCAACATTCTTCTAAGCATTAAAACAAAAAAAGGACACATCACTATATATGTTCTAGACAAATCTATAGAATACAATTACAAGAGTGTCAGCTGTAACAACTCCTGCTTTCCTGTAAACAATGTGATCCTGTAAGCACTTCAATTGATGGAAAGAAAATAATTACCTGATGCTCTATACTACCACAATCTGATCCTGTAAGCATTTTAACTGTTGGAAAGAAAATAATAACCTGATGCTCTATACTACCTGCTAGCACATGTAAGCCTGGAACATTACATGGTAAGAATGCAATCCGTGGTCTATCACACCGAAATACACATCTAACTTACAAATCACTTGCCATCATTCTTCATGCTATAACACATACACTACACAACACTTTTCACCTTTTACACTGTCACTGTACACGACTGCCATCATAACACCAATGACAACATGTGTTTCACTTAGCATATCACCTTCTTATAAGCAAGAATTCTTCATGAAAACAACATATGCACATAAAAGGGGAAACTTTTGAATGCACTGTGGGTGATTGGAGATCTTAACATTCTTGAAAACCCTATATAACCTCATACACATCACCGTATACATTACACACAAAACTATAACGTCACACTAGAGAATATAAACTTCAGTCTACACTAGACATTACTGTGACCAAAACAAAATATATTATACCCACCACACTCTGTCACACAGAACTAAGTTAATCACAACATGTACATATATGTATATATAAATACACATAACACCCTCTTATTATTTATAAATACATTTTCATATCAGGAAAGAAACCAACCTTGATGGCGCACACCGGATATTTAGGTCACACTGACAGGGCAGCTAACCTCTTAACATGACTGAAACAGAAACATTGGAATATCAGTCAGATTACAGTACGGCAATTTTTCGCCCTATTTTTTTCCCCCCATTTTCGTGCATATTATTATTCTACTTCCTATCCACTAAGGGAAATTCGGGCGAAACAAATGCCCACCACTCACTCAATTGGTCGCGTATCCATACACGAGAAACAAGGCAACGATTTCACTGACAACAAAGATTTATCGTCATAAAGTTATGCCATTGGAGGGCAGCACAATGCCA